GGAAACCAATGAAAATGAACACACAACAACACAAAATCTATGGGATGCAGCAAAAACAGTTCTGAGAGGGAAGTTCCTAGCACTACAGGCCTACCTCAAGAAGCAAGGTAAATTTCTAATACACTATCTTGCCTCACAACTTAAAGAACTGGAAAGCAAACAAAAAGAAAACCCTAGAGCAAGTAGAAGGAAGGAAATAGTAAAGATCAGAGCAGAAATAAACGACATGGAGACCAAAAACAATTTGAAGGATCAATGAAACAAAGAGCTGGTTTTTCTAAACAATAAAAAAAGATTAATGGACACTTCGCTAGACTCAGCAAGAAATATAGACAAAAACCCAAATGCACAACATTAAAAACGAAAGAGGAGAAATAAAAACTGACACCACAGAAATACAAAGGATTGTTAAATATTATGAACAATTATACGGCAACAAATTCAACAATCTAAGCGAAATAGACAAATTTCTAGAAACACATAGTCTCCCAAAACTGAATCAGGAAGAGATATAAAACTTGAACAGACCAATAACAACAAAAGAAATTGAAGATGTAATCAAGATTCTCCCAGCAATCAAAAGCTCAGGCCCAGATAGCTTTACGGGGGAATTTTACAAACAATCAAAGAAGAACTAATACCCATTCTCCTCAAACTATTTCAAAAAATTCAGGAAGAAAGAAGACTTCCAAACTCATTTTATGAGGCCAGCAGAATTATAATTCCAAAACCGAAAAAAGGCCCTAAAAAGAAAGAAAATTATAGGCCAATATCCCTGATAAACATAGATGCCAAAATCCTGAACAAAATACTAGCAAATCAAGTCTAGCAATACGTCAAACATACACCAAGTGAATTTCATCCCAGGGGTGCAAGGCTGGTACAATATTCGCAAATCAATAAATGTCATATACCACATAAAGAAAATGAAAGATAAAAATCATATGATCATATCAATAGATGCTGAAAAAGCATTCAACAAAATCCAGCACCCATTTCTGATAAAAATGCTCAGCAATCTTGGAATAGAGGTATCATATCTGGACATAACAAAGGCCACACATGACAGACCTATAGCCAACATTATACTCAATGGGCAAAAATTAAAAGGATTTCCTTTAAGAACAGGAACAAGACAAGGATGCCCACTTTAGCCACTCTAATTTAACATAGTACTGAAAGTCTTAGCCACAGCAATCAGACAGGAAGTAAAAGTAAAAGGGATCCAAATTGGAAAGGAGGCACTAAAACTGTCTTTATTCGCAGATGACATGACACTATATGTAGAAACCCCCCACAGACTCCATCAAGAGTTTACTAGAGTTAATAAATGAATTTGGAAAAGTAGCAGGATACAAAATTAACGTCAAAAAATTGATGGCACTCTTATACACCAATGATGAACTCACAAAAAGAGAAACTAAAAAAAAAAAATTCCTTTTATTATCATGGCAAAAAATAATTAGATACCTAGGAATAAACTTAACCAAACAAATAAAGGACCTGTATCCAGAAAACTACAGGTCATTGAAACAAGAAATAGAGGAAGATATAAAAAAGTGGAAGTACATACCTTGTTTATGGATTGGAAGAATTAACATCATTAAAATGTCCATACTACCCAAAGCAATTTATAGATTCAATGCAATCCCCAACAAAATACCAATGACATACTTCACAGAACTAGAACAAATACTTCAATAGTTCATATGAAACCAAAACAGACCCTGAATAGCCACAGCAATCTTGAAAAAGAGGAACAAAGTAGGAGGGATCACATTACCAGATTTCAGGTTGTACTACAAAGCCACTGTAATCAAAACAACCTGGTACTGGCACAAGAACAGGCATATAGACCTGTGGAAACAATCAGAGAACCCAGAAATGGACCCAAGGCAATATGCTCAATTAATATTTGATAAAAGTGGCAAGAGCATACAGTGGAGTAAAGGCAGCCTCTTTAATATATGGTGTTGGGAAAATTGGACAGCTACATGCAAAAAATAAATAAATAAATAAACTAGACCATCAACATACACCATACACAAGAATAAACTCATAATGGACACAAACTTAAATGTGACCCATGAAACCATAAACATCCTAGAAGAAAATGTAGGCAACAAAATTTCAGACATCATACACAGCAGAATTTTCACTGATACATCACCTAAGACAACAGAAACAAAGGAGAAAATGAACACATGGGACTACATCAAACTCAAAAGCTTCTGCACAGGAAAAGATACAACCATTGAAATAGAAAGGCAACCCACTGTCTGGGAGACCATAATTGCCAATGATATATAAGGTAAAGGGTGAATTTCTAATATATAAAGAGTATTCATACAACTCAACAAAAGAAAGACAAAGAATCCAATTAAAAAATAGGCAGAGGAACTAAATAGACACCTCTGCAAACAGGACACACAAATGGCTAAGAGACATATGAAGAAATGCTCAACATCACTAATCATCAGAGAGATGTAAATTAAAACAACAATGAGGTATCACCTCACACCTGTCATAATGGCTGCAATCAACAAATCATCAAACAAGTGTTGGCGAGAGTGTAGAAAAAGGGGAGTCTAGTATGCTCATGTTTGGAATGCGGACTCGTGCAGCCACTATGGAAAACAATATGGTGTTACCTGAGAAAATTAAAAATTGAACTGCCGTTTGACCCAGTGATCCCACTTCTAGGAACATACCCTAAGAAGCCTGAAACACCAATCAGAAAGAATATATGTAACCCCATGTTTGTAGCAGCACTATTTATAATAGCTAAGATCTGGAAACAGCCCAAATGTCCATCAGTAGACAAATGGATAACAAAGGTATGGTACATATACACAATGGAGTACTATGCAGCTGTAAGAAAGAAAGATTTCTTATCCTTTGAGACGACATGGAGGGACCTGGATGGTGTTACCCTACGTGAAACAAGCCAAACAGAGAAAGAAAAGTGTCATATTATCTCAGTTATTTGTGGAATATAATAAACATAACAGTCTGAGTAACAGGGTAGTCCCAGATACACTGAAGTAGGGTACAGACTGTCAATCCCCAGAAGAGGGGGTGGTAGGGGATAGATAAACCACAGAACTTATATGCAAGTATGCATATACAATGGGCATGCACAAGAAACCTGGGGACAGGGTCAGGGGGGTCAGGGAGGGGGTTATCAGTGGGGGAAAAAAGGAAAAACATCTGTAACAAAAATAAATTAATTAATTAATGTAAAATAAATAAATAAATAAATAAATAAATAAATAAATAAATAAAATGCCAGGGCAGGGGTAGTAAACAAAGGTCATAAAACATCAAAATTCACCACTCACCCTCAATGCCACCTTGGTTCATTCACAGGACTATTACTTTGAATATATTTTTCCCTACCCTTCTATTTCTTTTAAGTCTGAACCAAGGCATTCTGGGCAGGATCCTTCAGTGCTAAAATACTAACACATGAATAGTAGCCACTTCAAAGGCAACAGGATTAGTTCTTGAACCCAGGCCAACTGTGAGTGGTATAAGGGGAAAGAGAGCAGGGAGTGCTATTTTATCCTTCTGGACAATCAACCCACTAAATCATCTTAATTTTCAAATGGTGCTGTATTTCCAGTTCTTGAGCAGTGGAAGCTTCCTTGACCTCTTAAATATGACCCAAGATCTACATGGTAAGATCAAACCTTATTTCTTCCCATGGAGTTCTAGAATAATGGTGTTCCCTATCACCTGCCCATCGTGTTAGTCAGAGTAATGCAGAAATTCAACTGGTCTTGTCCCATTCTATGCCCTGATCCTTTAGAAGTGGCTGTATACTACAGATTTTCAATATGCCTTTCTAGGACCCTTTCCATCTACAGAGAATGGGAGGTTGGCATAGTATTAGAATGATGAGGGGGTAGTCACTTCTTGCTGCTGCATTCAGCATGCATATGGTTATGTTCCCAACAAAAAGATTAGTGGTAGTTTTGCTCGACAGATATCCAGGAATCTGACCCAATGAACCCTCCTATATGGCTGGGCCACACATCTGCCTCTTAGCACTCATTACTCCAAGGCCAACCCTAGAAGTTTTCTTCCTAGCCTGATTCACATCTACAGGTCAACCAAGGTCTTGCTAGTAATCTCAATAGCCAAATCAGATGCTTTGGGTTCCCCCTATTGCCTAATCCAGAGCTTCACACTCCTCTCTCCATTTAAGTTGTATTAGGTTCAGGGAGTTGGGAGGCTACCCTTGTCTTTCAGACAGTCTAAACTTCCACTGAAGCATTCTAATGAGGGCTGCCCCAGCAATGTCTTGTTTGAAGGTCCTATGATGTACACTTTCTATGACTGGCTTCTCTGCTATCTTCTGAAATAACATCTCTAGCATCAACACAAGGGCAAAAGCTTTTTCTCTTGTCTCATGAGACATTTTTAGAAATTTGACCTTAATAGTCTTTTGTCTTTATACACTATTGAACACCTGTTTGAGTGTCCTCAAGAAACCCAGCCAGGCTAATGGAAGCATTGTTAGCTGAGGACATGGATAACTTCTCATGCAAGGCCCCTCAGGCTTTTAATCCAACTCTTTCTTGTTTCCGCCTCATATATCTGTCACTCACAAAGCATCTCAGTGCTCCAGCCAGGCTCAAAAGCCTCTTCAGCAAAGCTGACACGGCACTCACAGAGAGCACCCTGAGTTTCAGTATCCTATAGTTTCAAAAAAGCCCTAAATTGCCTGCTCCAACATAGGAACAGCACCCTAGATCCATTAGTAGTTCTCTCTCTGTTCTTTTCTCATTTCCCCCATTTAGTTCCCTACTCTAAAGAATCAGCCTTCTTAGAAATTCTATGTTAAGCAGAGAGTTGATCACTTTTCAGGCACTCTATTGCCTCAAATTGTTCCCTAGGAACTCAAGGAATCTCCTGATTTTGTACTCTACATTTGTACTTCCATCTTGAACACCCTTTCCAATACCCCATATTGTTCTTGATTCTACAAAAACAACCCAACATTGCTTAAATAGTATACTCATCATAGTTTTCTATGATCTTCAAAGTAACCATGGCTGTTTAAAGATCCTTATCTATTCTGTGATACCCACCTTGTAACATTCTCAATGCTAGTGCCTTGAAAATGCCTGATGGTTCATTGAAAGGTTGGGTAGGACAGATTGTGGATGGTCAGGAACAGAGGTTCAGATACAGAAGAGCACAATGCTGTGCTTTTTGAGGACGTAATGGGATGCTCCAGCATCAAAGGCCTCCAAGTAGCCATATCCATGCTTCTTTCCCCAAAGGAGTGCCTTTTTCTCTTGCCAGAGGTTCCTTCCACAATATGACAAGAACCCAAGGAGTCTGTGTGGGGTAGGCTGGTTTCAGGATGATTGCTGGGCAGTGCTATGATTCACACAGTCCTTACCTGGTCAAATATGTTATCAAAAGTTGGTTGTTGTTCTGCAGCCTCAGGCCAGCACTGCTTCATCAGCTGGAGACATTCTGGAGGGGTGTGCTCAGGAGGAACCACTGGTCTGTACACAGGAGGAGGCTTCTTTAGTCTATCTATGATTTTTGTCTGGAATCAAGAAGAGAACTATCTACAAATCATGGAAAAAGCACCAAGATTTAGCAAAGATATGTGAGTTTTAGCCAAGAAAGTTACTAGTCAGGAGAAATCACAGAAAGCCCACCTCCTTACTTTCTGTTTAGGTGACATGAGTATAAATTATATCTGAGCAAAGGTTACATCAGTCAATTGAGGATAGGGTAAAGAATTAATCAGTTGAGCCCTAGCCAGTTTGGCTCAGAGATTGGAGCATTGGCCAGCGGACCAGAGAGTCCAGGATTCGGTTCCCGCTGGGGGCACATGCCTCAGTTGCAGTTTGTCCCTGTCCCCAGCTGGGGTCCTGTGGGTGGCAGCCAGTCGATGTGTCTTTCTCACGTCGATGTTTTTCTCTCTTTTCTTCCCTCTCTCCCTCCCACTCTGTCTGAAGATAGATGCAAGTGTTCTCGAGTGAGAATAAAAAAAGAAGAAGAAAGAAAAATTAATCAGTTGGATTACTGGTATCATTTAGGCACAGCTTTATTCTGCCTCTGCTAGGTTTTAGATGAGGCCTATGTGATGTCAATTATAAAACTATAACTCCAATGATCTGACTCCCTTCATTCATCCCCAAATCATCTACGTCTTCCAATCCCCACCCTAAACACAATTACCACCCCAACCCCTGAAGGCCCAAGCCCAACTTGGGTCCAAGCTATGGGCCCTGCCTGGCCCCTAGAGAAAAGGAATTAAGAAATCTAGTAGAGAGTTCAGGACCTCATTGGTATCCTCCTTACTATTTGTCCTTGAGCTCCACTTTTGGTGGAATACTTATCAGACTATGGCCTGAGTGAGCACATTGCATGCATTGTTTCACTTGGTTCTCATTACAGAAAGATAAGGTAGGAACTCTTAATTTCTCAAAAGGGAAAACTGAGGCACAGAGAGAGCAAGTAACTTACTCAAAGTCACTTGGATAGTAAGTGAACAGAATTCAGTTTGATCTCAGGTAACCTCAGTCTATTATACTGATCTTCTTACAAATGTTTCAGACCTCAACTGGGAGTTTTAAACTCCCAATTCAGACACAACAGTCATTAGTGACCAGAGGTATATATCAGTCAGACTGTTTTTAAAATGGGAGAAAACTCCCTGGAAGTAGGAGAAAACAGTTATCCTTCAATGCCCCCCAGCAACCTGCACTAGTCTCAATTTGGTCTCTGCTTCCAGCCTAGCCTTCTCCAAACCATTCCTAAAACATAAATTTGACCATGTCACTTGCTTGACTAAAACTCATTCATGACTTCTTATAACCCACAAGATAAAATCCAAGCCCTATCTCTTCTGCTCATTTCTTATCTTTAGTCCCCTGTCCACAACCCCAGTTCTAACATCTGCATCATGAACCAAATCTTGCTTGCCCCACCAGTGTGCCTTTTCCATTGGCTGTAACACTACAACAGTGCTGCTTCAGACCATAATAAATGTCCCCTTACCCCAATGAAAGAATTTCAGCTGTTGCCTCTGACTTCTTAGCTCCTTGTGACATTACACCTTCTGCTCTTATAACCCAGCTTGGCCTACACTAGTAATGGGTTCTCCATCATAGCACCCTGCTCTTGCAGTGCAGTGGGTTTCGTGTGAATCAACCCATTGGGATGCAACTGCCCCATCAACTCTCTAGCAGAGGGAGTCTTTGTTCCTTTCTCAGAATACAATCAAGTTGAATTGGTCACCTCTCTACTTAGGTTAAGCCTGATTCACGCCCTTGAGGAGCCCACATTCCAATTAAAAAATAAACAGTGACCAACAATATAAGTGCTGTAGCAGACAAACATAGTAGGTAAACACAGAGAGGGCACCTGACTCACACTGAAGAGGTCAGAGAAGGCTTCCAAGAGGAGGTGACACAATTTAGATGAGACAAGGTGGGGAGAAGGTGAGGTCATTCCAGTTACTGTGAACAGCCTGTGTGTAGACACAGGTGGGAGAGGCCACAAGATTTTCAGGGCACTGCCAATTATGGGGTTTAGGTGGAGTGCGGGGAGTGATAGGAGACAAGCCTAGAGAGCTGGTTAAGAACCAAATTGTGAAGAGCACTGTATGTCATGTGAGAAACATGTGCTTCATATAACAAGTGAAGAGGAACAGTTGGGGAGCTTTGAGTAGAGAAATGATGTGGGACTCTGGGGCAAAAGATAGCTAAGTACTTTGGGATTTTTGCTTGTTTTGTTTGCATTTTTAAAATCCTTTATTTTGAAATAAATTTAGACTTCCAGAAAAGTTGTAAAAAATAAACATTACAATTGCCTATATACCTTTCACTCAGTTTCCCCTAATGTTATCAACTTATATCACCAAAGTACAAAGGAAATTAATATTGGTACAATATTATTACTAATCTAGAGCCTTTATTTTAATTTAATCAATTTTCTCCTAATATTCTTTTGTCTGTCCCACACTGCAATTCAATATCCCATATTGGATTTAATTGTTTCTCAGTCCCCTCCAATCTGTGACAGTTCCTCATTCTTTCACTGTCTTTTATGATTTTTCTACTTTTGGGTTTTTAAATATTTTTAAATATGTTTTTATTGACTTTAGAGAAAGAGGGGAAGGGAGAGGGAGAGGGAGAGAGAGAGAAACATAGATGAGAGAGAACCCTCGATTGGCTGCCTCCTGGACATGTCCTCTACTGGGGATCGATCCCACAACCTGGGCATGTGCCCTGATCAGAACTAAACCTATGATCTCTTGGTGCAAGGGACAACACTCAACTAACTGAGTCATAGTAACCAGGGCTGACTTTGATACTTTTGATGAGTATCAGACAGTTATTTTGCGGAATGCCTCTCAATTGGGATAGGTCTGATGTTTTCCCTTAGTTATATGGAAGCTATGCATTTTTTACAAGAATACCCCAGAGGTAGTGTTGTGCCCTTCCCAGTGAATTATGTCAATGGGTACATGATATTGATAGGCATTGATCACTTGGTTAAGGTGGTGTCTGCAGGATCTTTCACTAGTAAAGTTAGTACTTTCTCACTTGTAATTAGTATCTAGTAGGTTCGTACTTTTAGAATACGCAAATATCCCACTTCCCCTCAAACTTTTGCCAACTGTTTTTTACCATTTGTTTGGCTGATAGCCAATGGGAGATGAAGATGAAAGCCTGTGGCATATCGCAGGGAATGTATGGGAACTTGCCATCCAGGAGCATTATGAGGGATACTAAAAAACCTGGCAAGGGGTGTCACACAGGAGTTGAGAGGCTGCTAAAATAAAGGACTGATATAAATCCTGTAGTCCCTTGGTTTATGTCACAGTTTGGAAAAGGACCAGCTTCTTGGGTAGGGGAATTTCTTAAAAATGCCTAAAGCTGTTTGTTTCTAAATCCTACCTGCACACATGAGCTGCTTGCATACTGGCAGGCCGTTAGCACAAACACATAGCTCCACTCATTCTTCTGGCAAATCACAACAACCTGTGTTGGTCTGATAATCTGGGTCATTGTGAGTCCCTGGGGCTCTTTTCTCACCTCCTGCTTACCTTCAGCAGGCAGATTTGTCATGCAGAATGGGGTTCCCAGGACTATCACTTCTTGAATGATGATGGCAAAGCTATAGATATCTCCTGCAGAAGAACCTCACCTACAGCCCCTGGGCGCTTTCAGCAACTCAGGGGCAGCCCAGAACTCTGAAAAACAAGCATTGTGTAATGAATGCAGTGAACATTAGTTGACAGGATGTGCAAAGCCCTAAGGGCTCCAAGGGTGCTATTTTATTGACTGTTTTATATTGTTATTAGACAGACCGGCATGCTGGTGCCTGCCCAGGGTCTAAATCTGTGAACCTAAGGAATTATGTACAGAGAAAGCATACTACTCTCCCCACCCCAGGACACTGTAGGCAGACACAACAGATGTGTGGGGAAGGGCAGAGAGGTTCAAAGTAGAAAAACTATCTGGCACTTTCTTTCTTGCTCTCTTGAGCCTGCCAGAAGCACTCAGCAGGCTTCCAGGGAAAGGCAAGTGCACTGCCAGACAGGTTTCCATAGGTTTCTGTTTGCTGAGATCTATATGTGTCTAGTAATTTTATTGTGCTAGAGATCAGGAATTTATAGGTTGGTTTCTCCAGGTCTTCTCTAAAAGGATTAGAGGATACCTAGGCCTCCTCTGTTCCTTGCAAAGCAAAAATGTACAGCAAATACTTCAACTCAGTTCTGCAAATATTTATTGAGGGTCTACTATGCATCAGGTACTGTGCTAGGTACAGGTGAGATGCCAGAGATAAATTAGGCCTTGCATTTGCCCCGCAGAGTTCACAGACCAGTGGGTAAGACAGATATGTGTACCCGTAACTGCAATATAAGAGAGCTAGTAATAAGGTCCAAGATAGAGTGCAGGAAAATGAATCTATTAAAAGCCAAATTTAACTACCTATTGTGTTGCTATGCTCCATTTCAGGCCTCATCGAGCTAAAAATACATTATTTCTGCTTTCAGAGTGTCATGGCAGTCAGAGACTGAGAAAGTTTTGGGGAGGGTCTCATAAGCAATACATAAAGAAATACACATTAACAGGGTATATAGAATAGTCAAAAAGTGGAGGAAGTGTTTTACATTAAACCATATAAAATTGCAGTTACTAAAGGTAAAGTTGGCTAAATATTGACATATTCATAAGGTTCAAATAAATAAAAAACTGAGCTGATCAAGTTAATTAAGAAAGGCTTCCTGTAAAAGTTTAATCTTAAAGGAGCTTGCTAAGAAGGTTGAGGATGCATTTTCCTAGAGCTTTGCAGGGAGAAAGAACAGTACGTGCAAAAGAATAAGAGGTAGAAAGGAGCAAATTACAGATGGTGGTGGTGGTAAGCAGATTAGCTTGGCGGAAGAGAATGGTTCTGTTAAGAAATAATGAGAAATGTGAAATGGGGTTGATAAAGTGGGGGAGAGAGGGTGGCTGGAAGAATGAGAGCAGGTGAGAGGCCCTGAGAGCCAAATGAAGGCATTTGGAGTGAATACAAAAGTCAGTAAGAGGTACAGGAGTTGGAGAAAGATTTGATGAAAACAATGTTCAGGAAGATGAATCTGGCAAATTCCACAAGCTGGATTGATGAACAAGAAAGGCTGGAGTCAGAGAGATCAGCAAAGAAGTTATTACAGGAAGAGCCAGAGTCAAGGTGAAAGGGTCTTTAATGGGGTTGGGGGTGGTAGCAGCAGGCAGGAAACCAGATACATGGGAAGGCTACAATAGAGAAGGAAGTGATAGGGCTGGGGATAGGCTCAGTGTGCTCTGAGAAGGGGAGAAAGTTGTAGTAAACAAGATTGATGACCAGATAGAGGGACTGAAGAAGTATCTGCTGAGGGTGGTGGGAAAATGGTGGTCTAGTTTTCATCTTGTTAAATCCAGAGTATTGTGAAGGGAGTCCAGGGGAAAAGCTCCTATGAAGCAGGAAGGGGGGGTGAAAGGTCTGAGATTATTTTGGTTTGTTACTGAAATCCAGGAAAGAGAAACTCACCCTGCAAATTCTTATTTTAACCCAATCCTGATCAAAATGATGGAACAAGGAATTCTAGCCTTACCTCAATCACATATTTGTCTTTTAGGTGTCCGCAACCTTTGTTCCCCATCTCCCACCCCCATGAAACTCTCTGATACACTGCCTATAGTGATTTTGTCCTTATGTCTCCTTGCCTAAGTGGACTGATATTTACAAATAAAACTGAAAAAACTGAATGATACTTTAGTCAGAGAATACATTTCTGACTATGGGATTTCAGGCATATGGTTTGGGGAGGGAGGGCAGGAGGAATATTTGCAAGCAGGGAAAATGGTATGTGACTGCTTTTTCCTGGCAACCTCTCTCCATGCAAGTGTAAAAACACAAGACAGGAAAAGAGGACAAAACTTTCTGGTAAAAGCTGGGTTATTAAATATAATTATTACCAAATAGTATCTTCAGAGAGCACTTACATGTATGTTGTTAATGGCTAAAATGAGGCTTTATCTGCACTATTACGTATATAATTGAGAGTAGACAATAATGAATACATTTACAGCCCACCCTCATTTCCCCATCCCTACTCCAGAGCTAAATAAGAGCCACTACCTACCATACTTAAAATCTTAGAAAAACTAGAAAAATTACCTTATCATGTTTTGTATCTGCTGGAGGCAGTAATAACTCTGATAAGTCACCTTTTGATAGTCAGTGTGGTACAGTACAAAAGTAAACAGAACTGAAATTAAAAACACCTGTGTTTAAAATCTCAGCTTGGTCACTAATTAGCTCACCTTTCTGGACCTCAGTTTTCCCAACTAACATGGAAGTTGAGCCAGATTATCTCCAAGAGCTTTTCAGTTATAAGATTCTATTAGACCTATTATCTAAGGTAGGGAGCAGCAAGTTATTTCATTTTATTTAATCCACTTGTTGATGCAGCAAATATTAGTCCTGTCAGGTACAGAAAGGTGCTGAAGGACGAAAACCTGTTTCTTGCCTTCACAGAGCTAATAGTTTAAACAGGGGAAGAAGATAGCTAATCAAGCATGTACTACCAACGAAGTGTGATATTACAACAAAGTTCAAAGTCCTAAAGGATTATTAAGAGAAATTAGCTCAGCATAAGGGATCATGGAAAACCTCTTGAATAAGTGGCATTTATGTTGAGCCCTAAAGAAATAGTATAATTTAACCAAAATCAGATGAGTCTATAACAGAGTTGGAAGGGAAGACTGTCCCAAGCAATGGACACAGCATGTGTAAAGGTCTGGAAGTAAGAGAGTACCTGGTGTAAATAAGCAACTGGAAGGAGTTAATAACTGCTGGATCATAGAGATGGAGGGAGGTTTGCAAGGCCCAGATCCTGCAGGGCTCTTAAGCCATGTAAAAGAATTTGAACTTTATCCTAGGAGCCAGGGGAAGCCATTCAATGCATTTGGGCACAGCTGTAGCATGATCAGATTTGCAGTTTATTTATTTATTTTTTCTCTCCAATTTTTATTAATTTATTTTAGTTACAAATGTTTCCTCTTGTTCCCCCAGGATCCCCTACTCCCCAATCAGCCCCACACACACTCCCCACCCCCCTAGCATTGTTGTCTATGACCACTGGTTATGCATACATGCATATAAACTCTTTGGTTCATCTTATCTATTCCCCCTGCCCCCTTACTCTGAGGTTTGTAAGTCTAAACCATACTCCTCTCCATGTCTCTGGGTCTATTTCAATCATCAGCCCACCTTGTTCATTATATTCCACAAATAAGTGAGATCATGTGGTATTTGTCTTTCTCTGAATGGCTTATTTCACTTAGCATAATACTCTTGAGGTCCCTCCAAGTTTTATCAAAGGATAAGAGCTATCCTTTTTACAACTACAGAGTATTCCATTGTATATATGTACCACAGCTTTTTTATCCATTTGTCTACTGATGGACACTTGGGCTGTTTCCAGATCTTAGCTATTGTAAATAGTGCCACTATGAACAAAGGGGTACATATATTCTTTCAAATTGGTGTTTCAGGCTTCTTAGGATATATTCCTAGAAGGGGGATCACTGGGTCAAATGGCAGTTCAATTTTTAATTTTTGAGGAAACACCATATTGATTTCCATAATGACTGCACCAGTCTGCATTCCCACCAGCAGTGTGCTAGAGCCTCCTTTTTCTCAAGACCCTCACCAGCACTTGTTTGATGATTTGTTAATGGCAGCCATTCTAGCAGGTGTGAGGTGATATCTCATAATTGCTTTAATTTGCATCTCTCTGAGGATTAGTGATGTTGAACATTTCTTCATATGTCTCTTGGCTATTTGTATAACCTTTCAGAGGGGTGTTTATTTGGGTCCTCTGCCCATTTTCTAATTGGGTTCTTTGTCTTCCTTTTGATGAGTTGTATGAGCCCTCTATATATTTTGGAAACTAACCCCTTATCTGATGTATCTTTGGCAATTATGATCTCCCATACAGTGGGTTCCCATCCATTTTGATGGTTGTTTCTTTTGCTGTGCGGAAGCTTTTGAGTTTGATGTAGTCCCATGTGCTCATTTTTTCCTTTGTTTCTGTTGCCTTAGGTGATATATCAGTGAAAATTCTATTGCGTATGATGTCTGAAATTTTGTTGCCTACATTTTCTTCTAGAATTTTTATGGATTCATGAGTCACATTTAAGTGTTTTATCCATTTTGAGTTTATTCTTGTGTATGGTGTAAGATGATGGTCTAGTTTCATTATTTTGCATGTAGCTGTCCAATTTTTTCTTATTAAAGAGGCTGTCTTTACTGCATTGTATGTTCTTGCCACCTTTGTCAAATTTTAATTGTGCATAATGTCTTGGGTCCATTTCTGGGTTCTTTGTTCTGTTTTATTGATCTATATGGCTGTTCTTGTGCTTGTACAAGGCTGTTTTGATTATAGTAGCTTTATAGTATAACCTGATATCCGGTATTGTGATCCCTCCTATTTTATCCTTCTTTTTCAAGATTGCTGTGGCTGTTCAGGTCTTCTTTGGTTCCACATGAATTTTTGAAGCATTTGTTCTAGTTCTGTGAAATATGCTGTTGGTATTTTGAAGGGGATAGCATTGAATTTATAGATTGCTTTGGGTAGTATGGAAATGTTAATGATGTTAATTCTTCCAATCCATGAACAAGGAATGTGCTTCCACTTTTTTATATCTTTCTCAATTTCTT